CGTGCGGGTGTTTGCCCCGGCTGCTCCCGCTGGCTCTGGGCAGCCCTGGCGCTCGGTTGTGCCCGAGCGCCGTCTCAGGACAGAACATGCCAATCATATATTTCTCCGCCGCGTGCCGCGAGACGTTTGTGCCTTCTGATACTCGGTCCCCGTGTCAACGTGTTCCTACTCAAAATCGCAGCTGGTAGGGTTTCCCCTCTTGGTGTCTCTTGAAAGTGAAGTGTACTAACTGCCGCCTTCTAACCGTGATGTTTACAAGTTTTGCAGCTTTGGGTTTTTTTGCCTGCTGCCGTTTAAGCTTTGGGACGCGAGCGAACGAGTCCGCGGCTCGACAGCGGGAGCCCAGCCGCCGCCGGAGCGCCGGGAAGATCGTGCCTGTTGCTTTCTTTAGGCCAACTCCAACAGCTCGGTCACCTCCTCCGTCCCCGTTGCTTCTAAATGGCTTTTTCCCGTTAGCGTGACGCTGCCGGCGTTTCCGCTCGGCCCCCGCGGCCGCCTCCGCTGCCCCTCGGAGCCGTTCTGTTGCAGGTGCTCCCAGCCCGCCGCTGGACCAGGGCGGCTGCAGCCCCTCGCCCCCTTCGTTCCCTTTTATCCGACGACCGCCGGCAGACCTCAACGACCGCTTGCTTGTTCTGTTGAACGCCGTTTACCGCTCTGTGCTTGGTGACCTGTGCTCCGTAGTCGTACCGAAAGCCAAAACCCGAGGAGAAGCTTAGTGGTTAGAGCCTTGCTCCTTAGGATGCTTTCAAGAACGGTTCTGGCTCCACGTATCTCTTTATGGCTTTAGCTTCTCTGCAGACTTTCAGGATGAACCTTTGCTGAGCCGTGGCAGATAGTCAAGGTGGCCTTTCTCTCTTCCCGAAGCTGGAGCAGTTGCAGGGCTCCTTGACCCGTGCAGAGGTCCCAGCTGCCGAGTTTAGCGGGGCGTCCTGAGCGGACGACTTTGTGCTTTTTCCTAATTAGCAGGCACTTGCCTTGTGCTTTTATCTGGGAGCGATGCCAAAACTGTTGTTTCCCCAGAACTGTGCCAAAAAGAGCAAAAGTTGTTCGCGAGGCGTCTCAGCCTCCAGCCCCGCGAGCTGGAGGCGGCGTGTCTCGGGGAGCTGCAGGGTCTCGGATGTTGGGTGGGGGGTGGTTTCCTTTAGGGAGGCGTTTGTTTCAAAAAAAGAAAAAAGAAAGAAAGAAAAAGGCTTGCTCTCCCAGCTTATAAAATTGACAGGCTGCGTAACAGCTAAAGCGCAAAAAGAGTGAAATCTGCCAGTGATGCTTTTACTGACTTTAATTTCCCCCTCTGTAATGGGTGAGGCTTGCTTCTTTTTGGCACTGTCCAGAAAAGTTGTTGTTTGGCTTAAGCCTATTTTATGCAAAAGCTTTGTTCTAAACAAAACTCTGTTTTGCTTGCAAGGAAAGGCTATTTTTAAACAATTCAGTTGAACAGAGCTGACTTGCCTTGAAGTCTGTGCGTTTATGCTGTAAACTGGCATCACAGAGTAGAAATCTGGCTCTTCTCAGGTCAACGCTTTTAGCAGGAGTTTCTTGATTGATCCGGCATAAAGTAAATTCTCAGCTCAATTTTAGAGGGCTGTCATCCCATCTTCAGGTCAGAAGTCTAAAACCTCCCATGGTAGCTCCTGGAGAGATAAGATGAGAGGAAAAAAGAGTAATGGTATAGTGGGACCAAAGATAATTTCTGGTGAGATGACAGAGAATAGGAATAAGCAGCATGAGTAAAATTGGGGGAAAGTTTCTGAAACGTTAACTGCATGTCTGGGTCTCCCTTGAATATTCAGGCATGCAGAGGGGAAAAGAAAGCAGAAGTGCCCAACTTAAAAGCATGAAATCAAAGAACCTTAACAACGTAGCCTCGGCATTAAAAATAAACAGATAAATTGCTGTATAGCAAACCCCAGAGGTTACAGCTCGGCTGTCATCTCTTTTGGTGTATCTTGAGATGACTGATGGCACATGCCGTACCTGGAGGAGCCACCCCGCTGCGTGCCGGTCGCAGTGTGTCCCACTTAATACGAGACGGGAACAGGAGAGAGGAGGTTCCCCATGAGCGTTTACAGCGTGAGCACGATCGATGGAAGTCGGCAACAACTCCGCTGAGCGCAGCTTTGCTATGTGGCAGCGCGTAGGCAATTGTAGGTGCCCCTGCGTGTGTCTCGTCGCTCATTCTGCTTTTTTCTAATGCCAGGATCTAGATAAGACCCAAGAAGAAATAAAGAAGCATCATGCCAACATCAGCGAGCTGAAGAAGAACTTTATGGAGTCCGTCCCCGAGCCTCGGCCGAGCGAATGGGACAAACGCCTGTCCGCCCATTCCCCCTTCCGCACCCTTAACGTCAACGGGCAGATTCCCACGGGAGCGGATGGAGTGAGTACCTTACGGCGCGGGGCTTAATCCGCTTCGTGCAGTAGTGCGCGACTTTCGAGGGACAGCTCGGCTACTTAAGATTCAGCCTCGGCTCCCCGTCGCTTTTGGTTAGGGGTGTATTTAACGTGACTTTCAACAAGTACGGTGGTCTCCCTAAAATATTAATGCTTTAACGTTAGGCTCACAAAAATATGGGAGGGGGTGGTATAAAGTAAAGTAGTTTTTCAGCTGGTTTTGATGCTGCTTTGCTAAGCATTGCTGTCATCTGTGCTGTTAGAGTATGCTTCTCTAGCGTATGCCTGTTTTGGGGACCAGCTTATTCCTGGTGTCAGGGAATGTGTCTCCCCAACATGTGAAAAAAAAGTCCCTACGTTGGTGGGAATTGTAACTTCAGAAGTAGTATCGCAAGTAATCCAGTGGAGAAATACTTGGATGGTATCAATTTTAAATAGTTGCTTTACTCTCCAGTTATTTAAGCTGGAGAGAATTCTGTATGTCGCTGAATTTACTCTTGCGCTAGGATCTGCTAGTATGTACCCATGGGGATACTCTGTGGCACCTTCAAAGAGACTCCTCCTGTGGTTTAATTAGGGTTGTTCGTACTTGATGGAAATCTTTCTCGTTACAAAAGCACTGTGGGTATGTTAGTAGCCGCATGCATCCACCATCTCCCTGCTAATTTTCTAAAAAAGATAACTTTTCTAAGAAAGTGAGACAGAGCAGCAGAGATCTGTCTGCCAATTTGTTTCTTCTTTGATATCGGACAGCTCTGTTTATATTAATACTGCTGTTACCCAGCTCAGATTTGAAGCTTGTGAGTGAAACTGTAGTTAGGAGCTCCTCGAAATCAGTCCCTTAAACAGTAAATATAATTTTCCTTCAAGCTGAGAAATTAAATCCTGGCTGCCGTGAAGATAGTGGCAGAATCTCTCCTGACTTAACCCTAGCTTCTCCCCTTCCTGCCCACAGCTCTGCAGATAAACTTGCATTTGATCTTCCACCCATTGCAAAGGTGGTACTTTTTAAACAGAAATTATCTTGCTGTGGACGGAAAGTTATCAGAATGGACACAAGAAGCTTTTAGTGGTCGAGTTTAGGAAAGTTTCCCCAAGGCACAGAGAACAGCCATGACAACTATAGAGCTTATATTTCCCCCTCAGAAAAACAAAACAAAGCCCTGAATGAACTCGTTGGGATTGATTGCCATCCTTGGAATTACCCCATTTAACGCATGGATGGACTTCACTGTTTGGTTACTGAGTCTTAGCGTAAATTTTGCAGGAATTTGCCCAGCAGGATACAGGAGGAGTGCTGTCGAGCTCCTCCCGTTGTACCAAGTGATTTAGGGATGTGCAGGTGGAATAGAGCAGGGGCTCTCAAACTCAGCAGCTGCAGCTCAAGAATTACATTCGTGGTTATTTGGAAGAAATTCTTGCATGGTGACTGCATGTGAGGTCCTCGGGACCTGCTCTTTATGATAACCGGGTGATGTGGGCTTTCCCCATCTAAGGCAGTGGTTCACCGCCTCGCTAGGATTGGTGTCAGCTCTTGATTTGCATTTCTGGAAATTCCTAGTAGCTCTTAATATGATTTTTGAAATGGTCTTGCTCCAAGATGGAGGTTGACGCATTGTGCTGTGAACTTCCAGAAATGGATCTTGACCGTGCAAGAGGGAAGGCACCTACAGGAAAGGATGTTTTACTTCACCTGCGCATCAGCGTAAAATGTTTAAGGATGGTAAATCATAATGCAAAATAATCCTATTTCAGTCGTTCGTGGTGGTATCTTAACACTGCTGTAGAGACAAAAGGGTATTCTGCCAGGGGCTGCTTTTCTGCTGTTCCTCTATGTTCTGTTACAAGAAAACTGAACCTTACCCGCTTTGTGTGTCCAGGTCAAGAAAGTCACTGTCCTATCTTCTGAGAGACAGGTTGGTGGGCTTGAGGTAAAGCTGCTGTTCTGATAATGTGCTTCTGAACCAGGATTTTGCTATTGCAATGGCACCAAGCAAAAACTCGACAGCAGCTGCTGGATGACATTTTTCTTTTGGCTACATTAAGTAGTTTCATATCTCACAGCCTCCAGACCTAACACCTAAAGGACTTTTGCACTGCTGCAGCTTTTGCAGCTTGCGGTTTGCTTATTTTGGTGCATGGCCGGTTGGAAAAAGCTGCATGAAAGATGTAACCGTGTATTCGGAGAGAAAAGCAATTATGAAAGTTTAACTGTACCCTGTTCTTTTTATGTTGTCTTTCTTTCCGTTTTTGTTTTAATGATCATGTTACTCTTGCATTTTATATTTTCTTTTGCTGCCCAGTCTCCCAGCTACTTTCTCCCTGATACTCATCACTTAGGGGTGTGCAAAGAACCAGTCCCAAAATACCGCACTGATCAGAGGAGGCTAGCTCAACTGAGAGAGCTTAGAGCCAAGTTTTTTCTTTCATAGGGTCAGTTGGCTTTGACCATGTCTGGTGAACTGACGGCGTGGAGATGCACTGGATAGGTTGCAATATTTCCTACAGTCTCCTCTTTCTCTGATGAAAGTGCTAAAGCCCTCGCATGATCCTGTGTGATGTTTTATTCATTCTGGTTTTTGCGTTCTTCAGACTCCAGAAACAAACGTGCTAACGTATGAAGCCAACTTCAAGAAGTTTGGAACGCTAATACTGACAATCATGCCTGTTCCGCACTCTGGATTTCTAAGATGTAACAATTTTTTGCTCGTTACAATAGAGTTTTGAAAACAACTGAAATTTTGATACTGTCGTCAGGACTTTCAAAAATAGTTTTGTATCTGCACTGCAGTCTAGATGTCAGATGTTATTTAACAAGCACCATTTTTAGGGGCAGTAGAGAATAGGAAGTCGTCACAGACCACGTTTTGTACTATGCCATTTCTATTGGTAACACAACAAACTTTTTTCTCAACCATTCCAACTCCAAAACATGTTATTGGTTTTAAACGTTTGATTTTCTTGGAAGGCAGTTGCCAAACACACATGATCATGATGCAGAGATTCCTGAGCTCCGCAGAGAGGAGAGAACCATGTTTTGTAGCTCAGATGGTGCTAGAGGTTCTGTTCTTGAGAGCAGTTGATTATTAAATTGACAGGAAGACTGTCCTAACCCTTTGCACACCTCCAAGTATCATTTTGGGCACTTTCCATCTGTCATTTTTGTTCATCTCTCTCTGTCTTTCTTGATCTTCTACCACGAAAGCAGACACAGGAACGTCCTCTGTTAGTACAGGATGAAGACAAACTAAAAAAGCAGGAGGTACCTACTGAGACAGCCTTTCCCCGGCCAGCAAATGAAGAAACTCTTCCAAAGGTTTCTATTCCAATTCCTGAAGAGCAGAAATCGCTCAAAAAGTGTCAGCTGTACTCTAGTATTTTTCCTTCTTCGCGTATTCCCTTTATGATGTCTATTCTTGTGGTCATAGCACTGACTGTCTGGTGGCTGCTCTTTCTCTGAGTGGGAACAGGGTCCTATTGAAACCTCAAGACCAAAGCTCCTGAAATCTTGGCCGTAGCCTCTGCTGCATCCTCCTTGTCCTGGGCTCTGATCTCCATAGCCTGTTGTCCCGGGGAGGGACACCCGTCGACTAGAGTGTGGATCCCGCTGTTTTTCATTGTGTAGCTGCAATCTGGGGCCTGGCAGGGAGTGGTAATGGATTGCCAGATCTGTTTCGAAGTTTCCTAGTGCTCTGTAAGCAAAAATGAATTGTATAAAGCATGTTGCTGATTGCAAAGGCTTCAGCTGTAAGAGGGCAGATTGAGATGTGCATATATGGGAGATGTTTGCTTCTGTAGCTCCCTTAGACTTCACATAGCAGTTGCTGAAGACTTACTAAGCTTATTATTTTAAATGTAAGCTATTCACAAGCAGAGGAATATCTGATAATGATCCAAAAGCCTGATGAGGCTTCACGGCAATCCGCCGAATCTAATCCATAACCACTCCTTTTCTAGGAAACAAAAATTGGCATTTAAAGAAAAAGTGTTGATCATCAATGCTGCTGTTAGTGTTAACGTACAGCTAGGGACAGGCAGCTTTTCCTTTTCCCAGCGGGAGGCCTTTTGCAAAGCATCACAGCTTCCCTCTCGCACCCCTGTTCTTGTTTCGATGAAAATACACCGTGTTATAGGAGAAAATCCATTACAAGCAAATATTTATTGTAACGTAACCGAATCCTTTTTTTTCCTGAATCTCGACGTCTTGGTGCACTGCCGATGTGTTTGTGTGGAACGCACTGAAGCACGTTTGCGTAGGTCACAGAAAAGGACTAACCTGCTGTTAAGTATGTCTCCTTCGTCCGCACGTTGACTTTACTACTGTTGAGTTTACCCAAACGTGTGAAAAAGAAGAGCGCGCTCAGGACACAGTTGTTTTGGCTTCTCCGACGAAGTTGTTTTTGCCATCTGTTGTTTTGGCTTCTCCGACGAAACCGTTGCATGCTGCTTGTTGTTTATTACGCACAAATGTAAATGTCTGGATGATGCTTTTGGCTATCCGCGTCCACGTGGTAGTTGAGGTGACCAAGCTGGGAAGCGAGAGGGGTCGCTCAGCCGGGCTGAGCGGAGCTGGTTTGGGAGCCGGAGGGAAGATGGGACTTTGTGTCTAAGGGGTTTCTTTTCTGTATATAGTAACTATGGGACTGAGCTAAGCCAACCGCTTCTCTTTCAGTAGTAGTATGCATTCTGTTGCTTTCTCTAGAGAATTGGTATAGAAACAATTGCGTCCAAGAGCAGCCGCTGGTGCCGTCGGTTGGCAGCTGCTCCAACAGCGACGAAGAGAAAGGAGCAGCCCTTTATTACAGGGACTAAAATGTGTGAATATATATAAATATATATGTTGATAATCGTTTATAGATCTGTATCTGTGTGAACAGCGTTACTTTAGGAAGCTAGAAAAATACGTCTACAGGAAAAGACGAAAGACAAATAACGATGTGTGCACAACTTGGCATGTGCCGTCCGACCGGAAGGATAGCAGTAAAT